GATGTAACCCAACAAATTGCCATGACAACAAGCAGGCAGGACAAAGTGATGGAAGAGATTTGACGGGCCATCGAGGCTCTTAGCAAGCAACCTGGGCCAGCGGCGACAGGGGACGACGAAGTGGAGCAGCCACTCAGGTCCTTACACCGAGCCGCCCACGAACGGTGGTGGGCTCAACGACATCCGTTTTGGAAACTGGGAACCCGGGTTAGGGGGAGTTTTCCGCAACCACAACGAACCATTCAACGAACTTGACAACGGCAACCACGACAACAGTGGTAATCGGCGTTTCCGCAAACTGGATATGCCGATCTTTGACAGCTCAGATCCGGACGGATGAGTGTTGCGAGGAGAACAATATTTTCAATTTTATCGACTCGCGGAGGTCGAAAAATTGCAGGCGGCGGTCGTAGCTATGGAAGGCGACGCACTACGGTGGCACCAATGGGAGAGTCGCCGGCGACCGATTTGTAACTGGGAAGACATGAAGATTCGAGTGCTCACACAATTTCGACCCGTGAATGCAGGGACCCTCCACGAGCAGTGGCTCGCAGTGGAGCAATCCACCACCGTGGTGGAGTATCGTCGCGCCTTCATCGAGAAAGCATCTCCCTTGGTGGATATTCCAGAAAGTTTAATGAGGGGCCACTTCATTCATGGCTTGAAGGACGAGGTAAAAGTAGAGGTGAGGTTGCTTAACCCGATTACCCTGGAAGAAGCCATGGATCTGGCAGTTCGGGTTGAAGAACGCAATCGGATTGCGGGTTTGAGGAAAACGCGCGGAGTGACTTGTAGATCTGAGCCCTATTCTTATTTTAATAGTAGCCCATCTACTACTATCCTAGGAACTGGGCCGGCCCAATCCAATGCCCCAAACACTCAACCTTATAACTCCACAAATAGCCAGCCTTATAACTCCTACAACTCAACTCCCACTACAAATTACACGATACAATCTCGAAACCCAAACCGCACCTACCCAAATTCGTACCAGATACCTCAGACCTCAACAGCTTCAATAAGCCATGTGAACAACGACCACCAAACGCGAACCAACTCCGGCCACTCCCGATTCAGTGGCGAAGTACGAAGGCTAACGGAGAAGGAATTGCAAGACAAGAAGGACAAGGGACTATGCTTCAATTGCGACGGCAGGTGGACCGGACCTACCCACGTTTGCACCGCGAAGGGGTTGAGCGTTTTATTAGTGGAAGAAGATTACGAGAATGGCGAAGGAGAATTTATGGCCATAGAGATCCCGACGAGTATGGCTGTACCAACTCCGACCAATGCCTCCTTCAATTCAATGGTGGGTTTGATCAAATCAAACGTGATGCGAACGATAGGCAAAATTAAAGGGAAGGCGGCTGTGGTGATGGTCGATTCCGGAGCCTCACATAATTTAATATCTTGTCGAGTGGTAGAGGAATTGGAAATTCCGGTGACCGGAGTCGAGAACTTCGCGGAATCCTTGGGTAACGGGGAGATCATTCAAGGGCAGGGGCGTTGCTTAGGGGTCCAACTGAAAATGAGCGATGAAGTGACGATCGAAGAAGAATTCTTACCCCTCCAATTGGGAAATTCTGCCATCGTACTTGGCGTCCAGTGGCTCGAAAAACTGGGGTCGGTGGTAGCAAACTGGAAATCACGAGAGATGAGCTTTTCGATGGGAGGGAGGATAGTGACTATTAAGGGAGATTCTGGCTTAACTCACACAGGGATGAATAACAGTGCACCACCTAGATGTTTACGAGAAGCATCAGCAGCATACAAGGCGGAGTGTGGGGAACCGTTGGATGAGCTTCTTGACTTCCACCTTGAGGACAAGGTGGTTGTTTTGGGGGGGAGTATTGCAATGAACCCACTCCCACCATCTCCCATCTCCCGTGACTCTTACCTACCACAGAAGTCAGTGAGGCAGCAGGGACTTGCAGCAGGGGCTGTGCACCAACAACAACAACTTACCTTGGCAGCAGCAGCAAAAGGAGCAGAGGATTGAGCAGGGGACAAAACACCTTTAATTGTTTGTTTGTTAGTGCACCAAAATAGGAAGAGGACAAGGGTAGTGCTTGTAGTAATTAAGGCATTGTTGCCACCTATGCATTGTAGTAGTAGTATAAATAGTAGTAGCCTAGAGTAGAGAAGTTGGGCAGAAAGTATCAAGTTAGAGAGTTCTTGGAGAGTGATGGCCTAAAGCCATTGACGTTTGTACGAAAGCTTTGAGCTTTATTTATCTACATTAATCTTCCGACCATTTTATTTATCACACCACGCTCGTTCGTTGCAACCACCTTATAATTGTTGATCAAAGCATTTTGTCTTGGGTAACCAAGTCGGTCCAGGTAACAAAAGAAAGGAGCATCATCCTCAAATTTAAGAGTTAAATATAGTATATATTTGCTGTATGGTCAATGGAGATAATTATCTTCCTAAATTATATACTATATTTCCCTAGTATATTGCCATATATATTATAGTTAAAGGAAATAATTAACTTGATAAAAATGATAATTATCTATTTATAGTTAGTTGAACCCGAATATGACCTGACTTGGAAATGACCCGGCCTGATTGTAACCGGCAAATTATTGACTTGAATTGTTGAACATAACCCAACTTGAATTCGAGAATGACCCGACTTGGAAAAGACCCAACCTAAATATAACTCGCAATTTAATGACTTGAACTGAACCCGACTTGAACCCGACTTGAACCTGAGAATGATCCGACTTAAAAATGACCCAACCTGATTATAATCCGCAAATTATTGACTTGAACCGAATCTGACTCAAACCCGAGAATGACCCGACCTGATTCTAACCCGCAAATTATTGACTTGAACCGAACCCGAGAATTACCCTAACCTGTTTTAACCCGTGAAAACCCGAATTAAACAAGACCTATCGTTCACCCGACCCGAATGTAACCCAACCTGTTATTAACCTGACCTAAACCCGACCCAAACCCGATTAGAAGTATAACCCGACTCAAGCATGACCCAACCCAAACCCGACCCGCATAGGTTGTGGAATTAATGTGAATTGACTCGACCCGAGTTGCCGACCCACTCTTACCCAACCTAAACCCGACCTATTTGCCCGAATTGACAGCTCTAGTTACAAGCCATAGATTAAGTGGTGGGAAAACAAGATTGTATTAAAAGAAAACCTTTTGTGTGTGTGTGTGTGTGTGAGTGAGTGAGTGTGTGGGTTGGTGGGGGGGGGGGGTCTAAACCACTATTGCTCAAGTTGAAACCATAGGTTCTTTAAAAACGCGCATCAAATACCGTGGATTCATCTCCTATCTACAGCACCATCAAATAACCAGAGGAACTAACTACCATATCTCTATAATCCATTAGTCCTTTATAATCCTCTTCCAAGTTGTCACAGGATTTTTTTTATTCCACTTTACTAAGTCTATTCCAGCCAATTACATACAATTAAAACTCAAATTCAACAAAGAAACCACCCGATGACAAGAAAGTGAAAAATACCCCTTTATTTTGCCTGGGTCTTCCCTTAGTAGCTTGATAAGGAAGGAAATGTCCTTCAGCATAAGCCTTTGGTCTTCAAATGGTCTCGGAAAGGTTAGAGTCGTTATCATACACTTCAAACATTTTGCATAAGGTCCACACAGATATATAAGTCACCCTTCACACAACCACACGATAAACCATCCCCAATCATGTTTGACAATTATCTTTGAAAGCATATTCGCAAGGGATGAGATTGATTCCTTTTTTCTAGTCATTCACATTGATATTGACTTGACTCTTTGAAGTATTATGTCCTAACATAAGTTCACAATTTGGAATATACACGTCAATTTTAGAATTACATTAATTATTTTTTGCCGAAACTACAATCAGAGTTCTACAGGGTTGTTTTTCAAGATTAAGATGCTCACAGAATTCTACGAAATCTCCCTTCAGCACTTATTTGTCGCCAACTTGCCATGCATAATGATGATCTAAAGAAAGTTGTTCTTCTGTAGTTCTGTTATTATATGATGTGAAAACTGTGTAAAGGAATCTTATACTCCTATCTAGTTTGGTTTGCTACGCCTGCAAAAAGATATTTATCAATTTCCTTGCTAATGGCAGATATTTTTCAACTCCCACCGAATCAATCTATCCATCCATGTCAACAGAGTTTCCATAATCCTATCAAATCTATCAAAATCTCTATTACACTCTTTGTCTACATCAAACTAAGAATGCCAGTAACATAAAAATGCTAAATCCTTAGCTACACGGTTTAAACTTAAAAAGCCACATAAACTTCAGAAGCCCCTAAAGGAGCAAACTGTTGAGGTTAAGAAACAAAGAAAAGGCTTGCAAGGATACATTCATAAGCATACGGCATACCCCAGCCACAATCCTGCATGAAGGACACTGATTCATTAGTGCCCACAACGTTAACCAACAAAGTTCTCATCTCTCCGGCTCTCCCTATCCTGAGTTGACCTCCAGTACATCATCCCAAAACATCAAGTAATCAAATTAATCATATTGGCCAATAAAGCTGCCATCAATCCTCTCAATCAATAAATTAAGCAATGATCCTAAACCAACAGTACATTGATAATAGTCTGCTGGCTGCCTGGCTTGCCTCACATACTATTCACTGTAAATACAATCTCTTAACAATGCCTTGCCATACAATCTAGTAACACAAAATTTACCTTTCTACACGATGTTCATAATCCCCGAGACAGGAAAGCCTCACCTAGCTCTATCACTTACGACAACAAAGTAAATTGGGAGTTACCAATATACAAAAGTATCACATGACTTATCTAACAGTCTAATCCTTTCATTTCGGTATGTTACTCACCCAATTCATCACACATAAAACCGAGCCCTTACAATGATCATAGTGCATTAGTGCAATGTCCATATACTACTACTCATTGTAAAACAATAGCAAAGAGATAAAACTTACTAGAGCTCATTTTACAGAAAAAATGCAGCATAAAACACATTCAGCAAAACTAACCTCATCAAGAACAGGTCCATTTGAAAGATCAAACGCGGCATCATTGAGCTGTAACAAACACATTCACATGATTAACCAAAACCCTAAATTATGAAATATATAATTAAAATTCTTCCAAGTTGCCAACTTCACAATATAATCAACATAACTTCAAATTTTACAAAAAAAAAAAAAAAAAAAAAAAAAAAAAAAAAAAAAAAAAAAAAAACTTCGCTTACATCAAGACGAAGGTCCCTAGGAAGTTTGGCAAAGTAATCAGATGGCAAATCCAAATTAACCTGCAAACTAGCAAAACAAACTTTAGAATATCACTTAAAAAGGTAAAAAATTTAGACCAAAAACCAAAATAAAATCCAAAGAACAACTAACCGCTAATTCTCGAAGAAGGGTTTGTGGATCAGGATTAGAGGATTTGGGGGAATCAGATTGAGTAAGAGCAAATGCAACAGTTAGGGGAAATTTAGGGACATGGGTTTTGTAGCTAAGAGATTTTCTGAAGTGGGAATTTGAATAATTACTGAAACACAGTGATTTTGTGGAACATAATTTAGTTGAAGAAGATTGAAGAAGAAGAGGATGATAGTATTGATGATGGTAAAGAGTAGCCATTTTTGGGAGCTTATTTCTTCTCTTTGTTTAAAAATTATATTTGGACCCAAAAAAATTTAATATCAAGTGTAACATTGGCTTTTTTTGGTTAGCAGTGGACAAATGGTGCATTTTGGGAGTGGTTTCAAGATCATTTTGTGGTGTTGGAAATTTTTGTGGATATCTAATGGCCCACAAAATTTGGGTTTAGATTAGATGGAATTTATAATATGCTTTATTCATGATCACAAAATAGCTAGTGAAATGGGAACCATTTTATTTCTTGATTCAGGCAAAGTAACACTTAAACAATGCTCCTCTGATGAATGATGTAGATACGATTTGATCTCGCGCCAAAACTATCAATAAGGCAGTGCCATAACATTTGGCCCTGCATAGCATTCTCAGCCGGAGAGGAAATTATGAGCTTTGCACTTTTAGAGGGAACCAATTAATTCTCGCCATTAGCTCAATCTCATTAAAAAATTGCTGTTTTTTCTTTCAGCATCAAAAAGTTCACTTGGCAGCAATGGGAAAAAATGTTATCAATAAGAATGTTCAATTTGATATATCCAGGCATAAATCCTTTTTAGCTCATCCATAAATACTAACTGGCATTGCAGCAGAAGCAATTACAATAGGTCAAATAATCATGTCACTGTTGTAATTATCGAGCTGAATTCTGCAGCTACTAAATCATGTAGTATTTCCTAAATCATGCTCTATCAACACCAAACAAAAGCCTGACTGATTCCTAGAACAAGAGCTCACAATAAATGTAACAAACTGCGGCGATTTCTTTATGACAATATTCAGCTTTACAAAGAGCTTATCATTCCTAAGATCTACGGTGAAAGAATGCTGGGTCTCAATTTCCAACCTTGGCAACCTTTCTCGGCTCAATTTGGCCAGTCACAGGACATTGCATCTCTGTCCAACTTATAGGAATCATTGTCTCACCTGCAAGAAAATTTAAATCATCTCAGGTAGTAGTAACTAAGTAAACAGAATGGAAAAGAAAGGGGAAATGAACAAAGGCTCAAAGCAAGACATATAGCCAAATTCACTAACCTGCAGTGCTTTCAGCAGAAACAACTCCCAATTCGTTTTTTGCCGTTGACAAGTGATAGGCCCTTGCATCCCCCAGGGATAGCTAATAGATATGTCAAGGAAATCTTCATAAGGCTCATAGAGTAAAATAATGGACATGCCCACAGATAAAGTAGGTACGGCTGTATGGACTACAGACTCAGACTTGGAAACTCATATCAATCACAGGTAAATATCAAGTGTCAGACTCAACTATTATATGAAAATTTTCCGTATCCAGTCCAAAGAGAGTGTAAAAGATTCGACAAGGGTACTTGAAGCAAAAGAAGAACCAATTTATTGTCAATAGATAGGGTGTGTAAATGCTTAAGTTGATCATTTTTAACAAAGCTTTCAAGCATTTCTTTTGGCAGCGAATTTATGCAAATAAATAAAAGAGTTCCAAAAACCTGAGGTAACAACACATCCATTTAAGATAAATATTACTATGGAAAATCATAGTAAGAAAAATAATGGATGAAGAAAAGAAACTACGGCAGAATAACTAGTATATCAAGGATACAACCACTGCCCTAACAATATCACCAGCTCGAAATGAAGCATGCATATCGACCTTGTCAATCTCGGTTGCTCTTACATCCTGCTGTCTGCCAAGGCACAACAATTTACTTAATCAAGACCTGCATAATATGTATTATGGATAACAATACAGAACAATGATCTTCTAACACAAAGCAAGCACCTAATTACGCCTGTAAAATTTTCTCTAAAAGACTTGCTACCAACACACATGATATCCGCCGAAGCCATTTTAGCCATCACCTTTTTAACCTGTCATGAAAATCACATACAGATTAGTTTCAGTTTGTAAAGACACATGCAACTCAATAGTCACTAGAAATGACAATAAGCAGTTATTTCTTACCCCTTCATACTTCATAGAGTTCCTAAGTAGCATTGATAAATTTCAAAAAGCTAGCAAAACATATTGGGATTATGGGAAAAATAGGAATTTTCTGGAGAAAGGGGAAATTGTCTAGTACCCCACAGTCCCACACCATTGGATTTTTTTATTTTTATTTTTTTTTTTATTAATGGTGAAGGAACTCAATTATAAACATTAAATATTAGATTAATTGCTAAAGTTATCAAGAAAAAATAAACTTACCCGTGCAAGAACTGTGCAGCCAGGTTCAGGGACTGCACCATGCGGTTTATGACCGGTTACCTCCACGACTGACCTCTTTAGAAGAAAGTGTAGCAGTTGTAAGTACATAGGCATCAAGTGAATTATTTAATAAACAAAGCCAATTGCTAAATTTATCGACATCAATTAATACAGCACTTACTGCAAGCATAATCATCAAATAAAAGGCTGGACATTTTAAAATATACAGCGAATTTCTACCTGGTACCCTAATATATTGACAAATTCTATTTGTTAGACCAATGACCCTCCGTGAAATTTTCCATCAATGTTCACTTCTCTTCCCACCTAACCTAACACGATAACCACCCCATTTCATCATGAAAGCCACCTACACCCCTTTTATGCCTACATTCACCTATCTGCAATAGTTTAACCTATTTGTGAGGAGGAGAGGGAAAGGGTGGTTTCCATGGCATGAAGGGTAGCTGCTATGCTTTGTTGGGTGGGAAATTCCTGGTGTAAAACTTTAGGAAGGTCATGAAGTGAAATTGGACAATATTAAAAGGTTACCTTTAACATTCAACATATTTGGTCAGCCGTATAGAATTGTCAAAAGAAGGGGATACTAAAACTTTACACCAAGCCCATTAATAACTTAATAGTAAAGGACTTTTTCCTTTAAAAAAACACTACTACGTTGCTAGGATTGTTAATTCAACAAACTGTGTTAGTCCATCAAAGATTCTAATTACAAGGAAATAAAAATAAAAAGGAAAAAAAAGGGGGGGGGGGGGAAACCTAATATTCTCTAGACAAATCCAAATTCAACCCTACCAGTTAGAGCACTTTGGCAAGAACATAAGAAATAATCATATCCAATTCCAGCTAAAGAAAAACCTCAGAACAGAGTCGTTTGAGTTATAATGTATTCAAGACTTCAATCTGCCCCGATAATGGAATTTGCTCTAAAACCACCATCCTTAGTGTTCCAAAAGGATTGATATCTGTATCCCTAGTATACAAATTGGCATAGACTAGATATATAGCATTACTCCGTATTAAGTAAGCCGCCAAATTGGCTACCTTGAGCCAAAATATTGGGTTGAGAACTCGTCATATGTTGAACAATGACCCATCCAAAAATATTTGTATTGGAAATTCTAATCAGGTTCCAAGCTTCTATAGTTATGAAAGTAAAGCCACCAAACCACCTCTCCAGATCAGAAATATAGGCATTCATAGTTCTCCATATACTGCATAAATGCCACATATATGGAACCACTAAAATTGTCACACAACCCTAAAACCTCTGCATAGGAAAATCTCAAATCCATACAATCATACACAATCTACAACGTAATGAAATTGTTACTTAGGGCTTGTTCTGATTGATTGACTGAAATGAGCTGAATTTAACTTATTGAAGCTGAACTGAATTGAACTAAAATAAATTGAATATTTTATGAGAGAAGGAAATTAGGAACTGAACTGAACTGAATTTATTGGAGCTGAGCTGAATTGAAAATAAGCTGAAAAGAACATACCCTAAGATTTCTTCCACATTAACCACTTCACAAACTCTAGGTCTAGCAGTACGTCTGCCTAATTTTCACTTTTTTGATGGAAATATACAATTGAAGTCCAAGTAGTTCTGGCAAAGAAAAACTGAATGTCAACCTTGCAACTAATAATTTAGTCATAAGAACAGATGACAATCAAACTCCGTTCTCTTCCCCATTTTTGTTCTGCATACCACAAGACAATGATAATAGAAACAATAACCCTATGTGAAAATCAATCAACAATTCAATTCATATTCTCTCTTCAACCTAAATCAAGCTAAATATCAATTTCTCAATTCATTGCATTTCGACTCTTCATTTCGCCTAAAATACCCATGTCGGACAACTAACACTCCAAGATGGATATGCACGCTTAGCACCTCATACCAACCCAAAAACCCATAACATTGCTAGCCAAGTCCTAATAAAGTATTATCTAGTGCACTCATAGCATTTTTGTTGAAAGGACAGAATTGGAATTGGGATGTAAAAATGTCATCTTCCTGACTTCCCATATATACAAAACCAAACAAAAGGTGCCTCTCAATCCTAATGTACTAAACCAAATGACATACAAACTAATAACTTCCATTTGTTCTCTCTTCGCTTCTCTTTCCTTCTCAATCATTTTTAAAATACCAAAAGAGCAATCAAAATCTGTTAGGTTGCTCAAACAACATTTCTTCACTCATACTCCATAAGTCCATAACCAATTACGTAGAGCATATGCCAACTAGCTTAGTTGATTAAAGTCCGGAAATTGCTACTTGATACTCGATACCAAATCCTATCATTAGTCATTACCATTTGTGCTCTCTCTACACTAGCATTAGAATTTCCATCACACCCACAAATCAATGCTTATCAAAATTATAAATACCCCCATTAAACTCCATAATCTTAAACTAATTCACAAAATTAACCATTTAACAAACTCTGAAACATTATTAATCACCAAGATGTCAAATACTATATTACTATATATTTCCCAAATTTCAATCAAAATCCCTAAAAAGAAGCTTAATAAATTAACAAAACAAAAATGTGAAAGAAATTAAGAAGAAGAAACAAACCTTGTCAGTAGAATCAGAAGGAGGAGGAGAGATAGTGCGGTAACCAGTAAGAGAAGCGTAAACAAGGTTAACACCGGCAGCATCAGCGGCAACGTAAGCACCTTTACCAGGTTTAAGCTCGGATGCTTTTCCTAAAATTTCTCCTGGTGTTACTTTTTCTTTGTTGTCTCCTTCGATTTCTCCCATGTTTTCTGGGTTTCTCTTCGACTCAGGCGGCGGCGAATTGTCGGCGGCGGCGAATTTGACGGCGGCAATAGAGGTTTGATTATTTTGAGAGGGGCGGGTTTTTGAGAGTTCACTGTAAAAGAATGTAGACTTTTGAATGATAGAGGTTTGATTTTTTGAGAGGGGCGGGTCAATGAGTCGGGTTTGAGTTATGGAGCTGATGGTGAATGATTAGAGAAAATACAAGTTTCTTACTACGGGTGACTAAGTGAGCAAAAAGTCAAGGTACGGAGTACTTTACATTGGAAATTAGAACTCGCAAATACAATTAACCTAAAGGAGTTAGAGTATAGCCAATGGTTGCCCATTTTGGGTGGGCATGAAGAGAGAGAAAAATAAAAAAAAGCTTAAAAAAATGAAAAAGTTGTACTTTTGGTGAGAAATGGTTCATGACCAGGTCATGGCCATGACCATTTGTTAAGTGTGGGCATTTAGTGGTATTTCGCCACTTGTCCAACGAAGAGAGGAGGTTTAGTTTTTTTTTTTTTTTTTTTTTTTCAATTGATGAAGACTCACATGGGAATGGAATGAAAGGAGAATCAATGCCCACAAATTTGGAGGGCAACCAATGTGAGTATATGGGCATGGGAGTTGGGCATAAATGAGGTGGAAGAGAGAGAAAGTAATAAAAAATATGATGACCACCCTTAGCTTGGGCATCCATTGGCTATGCTCTTAGAGTTATCATTTAGGGTACTTAAGTTGTACTCGTAAAAAAAAATCAGGGTACTCTAAATTGGAATTAAAACTTGCAAATACAACTACTCTGAATTGGTATAAAATTTAACCAAATCTAAGGCTAAACAAACATAGGCTAGGTGTTTCGAGGGTGGGGGGAGGGATTTCGTGAGCGTTTCGAGGGTGGGGGAGTGATTTCGTGGGTGTTTCGAGGGAAGGAAGGGGGGTTACGAGCTTATGGGGATAGTGGTTCAAGGGGAAGGGGGAAGGACGATGGGACGGAAGGAAGGGGCGACTGGCCAGCAGGAGGAGGGTTCGGTTTTTTGGTGCGGAAAGGGGATTGAGGTGGTTCCGGTGGCGGCGGGGTTGGGGTGTGTAGGGAAGGGGTGATTTTTTTTAGATTTATCGATCGCTATTTGACACATGTTATAAAACCTATTATTAAAAAAAAAAATATGGTGTAAAGTTGAGATTATTAGTATCAAATTTTCGCTTTTCTTATTAATATTTATGTGTGGTTTTAATTTTAATACATTTTCTCTAATTTCCTCTTTTAATTAACTCTATTTTAATTATTTTTTGTTTAAAAAATAATAGATTAAGTATGTGTACAATAAGTCTTATTCAGGCAAAAAATAAAAGGGTATCATATCTCCAATATTTGGCCCAAATTTAACTATTTTTTAATTATTATTTGACTAATATTGTTTGTCTAAAAAAAATAATAGATTAATGTCTAATATTAAGAATAATCATATCTCCAATAAGGGTATCTTAGCCTTATTTTTTTATTTTTTTTATTTTTTTTTTTGTTCTCAATTATAATTTGGTTACATAAAATTGTTTAATATTACGGAACTAGAGTAAGCAAGGAGCGAGTAATAACCTTATTCAATCTAACCACTAAAACATTTTCACCTTTGTGATACTAAACATATTTATAATTCATTTATTCTTTTTTATAGCCTATTTACCACCAAACAAAAAAAAAATGGCCCCTTGCATGTGTTCTAACGTGGTTCTGTCACTGACTTTAGCAACCCTTTTACTTTGTCAAACTATTTATTTCTTAAATAACTTACTTAATTTCAAATCAAATCTCAATATCCCCTACTTTTTAGATTGTAAAATTTCATTTTAACTTGCACTCAAAGTTTTTTAATTTTTCCACTGGCGATTTTTCAGTTAAAATCCATATTCTATTTAGGGTTTCTTTTAATGATTAATTTTTTTATATAATTATTGATTTGATTTTTAATTATTTAAATATGCCTCCGAAAATTCATCTAATAATGTCTTCTAAAATTTGTATGGGCCAATTTTTTTTACTAGTACAGTGCCACTAAATTATCGGAGAAGACCCTAATAATCTAAAATACAAATATCCACATTAGCGTAAGTCATATTTGATTATTGATTTTATCGTAAATTCTATGATGCTAAAATGAACCCTTTTTTTAATAATAATAATAATAATAAAAAGAGTATATTTAACTAATATTACAAAAAAAAAAAAAAAAAAAAAAAAAAAAAAAAAAAAAACCTTTTAAAATTGGCTTGAACCTAATTAAATGATTCACAAAATTATGGGTACATATAACACTTTTTTTAAAAGTAGTGTTTGGTAAATTTTGCCACTTGGACCAATGTTCATAGGTACTATTCACTCTGTTTTTAAATAGTTGCTCTACTTTTCTTTTGTGGCCGTTTTTAAATACTTTTCCATTTTATTTAAAAAGCTTTTATAATATTTAAATTATTTCTCTCAACTAGTGGGACCCAATTTTATAATTGTTAGATTCTCTCACCTCTAATTTACCTTACACTAACCCATTATATCTATATTTTATTACTTTCTCCTATTTCTCATAAAACTCCGTGCATAGAGAAATTGAGCAAGTATTTAAAAATGGAGGGTGTATAACTTTTACTGTTAAATCAATATTAGATACTACCTTTTTTTACAAAAAAAAAATTATTTGCAACAATTAATATTATTTGTGAGACATAAATATTCTTTTATTATGCATATATAATAAGAAACGGATATAATAATTTAAAACTCGATAGAGTATATATTTGCTTGTACTCCCTCTGTCCCCGATTGATAGTCACTTATGCCATTTTTGGGCACCCAAAATATTAGTCACATTTTCTTTTTTCAAGTACTATTAATATTTTTTTTTTTACCAAAATTCTCTAACATTTGCAAAAATATTTGTACAAATTTAACTTTTCAATGTAAATTTTACTTTCCCATGTACTTTAATTTCTCTCTCTCTAGTATTGCATACCTAATGTAAATTTACTTTTTCAATGTACTTTCTTTAATTCTCCTTAATTCCCTTGATTTTTCTTCAAAAGTGACTATCAATCGGGAACGGAGGGAGTAGTATTTTACGAAGTAAGAAGACAATTTAGCTAGGAAAATAATTAGATGTAAAGTTGGCCCATGATTACCAACCCGGCAACCCCCATGTGGCTTCACCCAATTGCCTAATTTGAGGTATCAAGTACTCTATTTGTTTCTATTTTTTTTCCCCATTGTCTAATTTTTGGTCAAATTTTGTAAACTTTGACTATTAATTTGGTTAACTACAATAGGTAATATAATGATAGATGTGTGATTTTATTTGACCCATCTCATTACGTATTTCTTTAATATCAACGTTTTGTAATTTTTACACATATAATGGAGATATAAATTAAACATTATAACACGTGTCAACCGTAAAAATCAAATGGGACAAAATATTAGGGACAAAGTGACAAGTGTCTATGAGTTAGAATGGCTAGAGTCCATACTCTATCTTCATTTGAGAAAATTGCAAATATCAAAAACGTTACTTTAAATAACCCTAGACAATGTGATTGGATAGTAAAATGGGAAGGAAAAAAAAAGTGGATTGCTAAACATCGCCCGCAAATCTCCACATAAAGCCCACAAATCTATATTGAATTTACCTTATTGCCCTAAACCTAAAATAAAAAAATCTAACCCATACCCACACTCTAATCACCCGAAAATACGGCAATGTTGAGGCGGCAAGGCAAGGACTTGGCGGCCACAGCGGCGGAGGGAAGGACGGCTCACGGTGGCAGGGTTTTTTTTAAAAAAAAAAATTAAAAAAAAACCAGAAGAGGTGGGGCGCCTGGCCAGGACGCCCAGCCCCTGGTGGTGGCGTCTGCTCCGGCCGCCGGAACCAGGGGGCTGGCGTCTGACCTGGACGCCTAGCCACGGTTGTGGCGTTTTCCAGAGGCGCCACCGCCGTGGCTGGGCGTCCAGGTCAGACGCCAGCCCCCTGGTCCCGGCGGCCGGAGCAGACGCCACCACCAGGGGTTGGGCGTCCTGGCCAGGCGCCCTACCACCTTTTTTTTTTTTTTTTTTTTGTCTAATATTTTTTTTTTTGGAAAATCAGAATTCTTTTGTTAATGTTTAATATTTTTGTTTTATGTGTTAATGTTTTTATTTCTAATGTATATATTTTTTTTTAAATCAGAATTTTTTGTGTTAATGTTTAATTAAAAAAAACAAAAACTTTAAATAAAATTTAAAAAAAATTACAAAAAGTTTAAATAAAATTACAAAAAAAAAAAGAAAAAAAATAAATAAAAAAATTACAAAAAGTAGGGGCGGCGTCTGGCCAGGACGCCACAGCCATGGTGGCGGCGTCCTGACCAGACGCCACCCCTACTTTTCGTAATTTTTCCCCCGGATTATCTCGCTTTCCGGCGACGATGACGGCTCTTCGGTGTCTCTCGGCGATCCACTCCAGCTCCACATTCTTCGTGAGAGTGAATTACGGTTTCGGTAAAAATTAGAAAAAGGGCAAAAGAGTCAAAGTAAAAATATTTGTGGGCTTTATGTGGAGATTTGCGGGCGACGTTTAACAAATCCCAAAAAAAAGGGGAGGGGAGGGGAGAATAATGAGGTTTCCTTCCAAAATTATCTCTCCATAGTTGAAGAGATCAATTCTTACAATTTAATCCCTCAATTTTTCCTTCCTCCGATTTGGGAATTTAAATTTGTCTTTGAGATAAATTTGTGAATATATATATCTCCTCTCACAATGTAATCATTTTCTTTTATTTTTAAATGATAAAATGAAAATAAAAAAGTGATATAGAAATCAATACATAAAGTTGTGAGAGGAGATAAACTAAAATATTATTACTTTTTTTTTCAATTAATTTTTTTATGAGATTATTAATTGGGGCGCCCTTCTTCAATTCTCTTCCTTCATTATTTGTTATCCAATTAAAAGATAATTTATCCTTTCATTCTCCTAATCTCCTTCCCCTCCTTTCACTCTATTTCCTTCAATCCAAACAATGTGTAAGGTATGAATATAGAAGTCGAAGAGGGTATGACGATTAAGGCCCTGTTCTCATACGTTTATTTTCAGTGCAGTTCAGTTAAGGTCAGGTCAATTCAGTTCAGTTCAATTCAGTTCTGTTCAGTTTATGTCTAATGATATTGCTAATGATATAAAGCCAAATTTCATTCTTTTAAGCTCTTATTAATAATAATAATAATAATAATAA